ATTCTGAAATGTAAAATAAATATTTAATCATTTATACATCAATTTGTAAATGCACCAGTGTGCAGGCATTTTTATGGTTTTATACATAAGATAAGATACCGTAAGAACACGAACAAAGAAACAAAGTAAAACAAACTGACAAATACAATAAAACAAATATACAAATGAAATGAAATAAACAGTGCTGTCATTTTCCCATGAAGTTCTACTAACATTACTGTTCAGGTAAGTAATAGCCTACAAAAGAAATCTAAAAGTAATCAAATGTAAATGAACACTGCATAGTTTTCATAAGATACCGTAAGAACACGAACAAAGAAACAAAGTAAAACAAACTGACAAATACAATAAAACAAATATACAAATGAAATGAAATAAACAGTGCTGTCATTTTCCCATGAAGTTCTACTAACATTACTGTTCAGGTAAGTAATAGCCTACAAAAGAAATCTAAAAGTGATCAAATGTAAATGAACTCTGCATAGTTTTCAGTGTATGTATTGATAGACTAATGCTTATTAAAGCTATAAAGTTATTCAGATTAAGAGCAGATTTGCATTTTGATGGCCCAAGCGCCAGTCTGTCACTTTAAGACAATATATTGACACACATCGGATTTTCTCACAACTGTTCTCCTCCACTTAAGACATAAACTGTGTTTAAGCAAATACTCTCCAAGCCGGCCATTTTGACATAATTATGTGTGTATTTGATCGTTTGGACATCCACCCGAAGCTCAAAGTGTAATTTGTTTGTCCGTATTGGAGCATGCCGCGCGCACACATTTCAGCCTGGGGAACAGCGCGTCTCTTGTGCGGATTGTGCTTTCAACGTTTTATTATCAAACATGTCCCGCAATTTAGCAACAGTAAAGACGGCATTTTACAACAATCACCGATTGAGCTGATTCTGACGTTAAGTTTGGGTTTTAGGGAGGAACGAATGCGCACCGCTGTGAAGGGCAAGAAGTTGCGCAAGACGAAACGCAGCTAGTTTTTAATGGCTTTACCTCATGTCTTCTTTTGTATAATCCTTAGAAGCCAAAATCAAAAAAAAAAAAAAAAATTTGCTTAAAGGGGTCATATGACGCAATTCCAATTTTTCCTTTCTCTTTGGAGTGTTACAAGCTCTTGGTGCATAAAGAAGATCTGTAAAGTTGCAAAGACTAAAGTCTCAAATCCAAAGGGATATTCTTTATAAAATTTAAGACTTGTCCATGCCCTCCTAAAATGCCTCGTTTAAACACGCCCCCACATGTCTACTTCACTGTGTGGGCAGATTGGCATAACACCGCCCAAATGTTCACGCAAAGAAAGTTTTTTATTTTTGCTGTAGTATTGTTGCTGCCGCCGCCATGTTGTGAATATGCTGTGTGTTTCATTGTGAAAGCGAAACTACTTTGTTTTGCCTTCCAAAAGAGGAAGATATCTGCCTTGTCATGCCTAGAGCTGATCCATGCTGGTCGCTGAGGAAAAACATCAACTTCGCGCTGTCAATCGCCAGATCGGCTTTCACCGTGGACGAAGCAGAGTCCAGCCCGGGGTCGTCACATGTGGTTGCCGCAAGCCTCCTTTGTCGAATCCGCCGGGCGTCGCTCACTCAAGCCGCTGTGTGTTTCGTTGTGAAAGCGAAACTACTTTGTTTGGCCTTCCAAAAGAGGACATAATGTTTCTATAAAGTGGGGCAGTTCCAACTTTGCAAGGACAGTCTGGTGCTTCTGTAAGAGCCTGTAAGTAAGTTTTTTATATTTAAAGAATTTGCCACTGATGATTAAAACGCGAGTTTGAGCAGTGTAGAGTAGCGCTTATTGTTTGTCATTTCTCCGATCACAAATGCAGACGTGGTTTTATGTTTACACGGCGCAATACGCAATGCAAAGCGTAAAAATACAGTATAAGTCATTACAATCAATAATTATGTCCCCACTGGATGCAACAAATGCCTCGTTTGTAATGGGTTTTATTGGTTTTTTCTCGTCGCGCCAGGACACATGGAAACCATAGACTGTATGATGGAAACACAGTATGGTAAGGGGCGTAACATTTCTGTCACATGCTTGAGGTATTCAGCCAATCACAACACACTGGATAGCTGGCCAATCAGAGCACACCTCGCTTTTCAGAACGATGAGCTTTGTAAAAATCGACGTGTTTCAGAAAGGCGGGGCATAGAGGAGAAACAATAATGTACAGTATGTGGAAAATAATGTGTTTTTTTAACCTTAAACCGCATAAACACATTGCATTACACCAAATACACCAAATAATATTTTTTTTAGCAACATCACATGACCCCTTTAATAAAACAGCCACAGGCCTAAAGTGTAAGCAGATGTTTGAATGTTTAGTTCTCTCTTCTATCATAATTAAACAGGGCTTTCATGTTGCGCGTGCTAAAGCTCCTCCAGATCTCGCTTCTGAATTGCGAATAGCAAAAATGCATCATAGACAAATGTTTGAAAAACAGCTGGCGACTCTGGTGAGATAGAATTTGCAAGATAATGTATATGTAGCAATAATAAATGTAAGTGTGTTTTATTAATTTCTCCAGTACCGATAGCAGAACCGTTAACATCAGAGCTTATCGATACTCCGGCCTTTCATAATTTAGCCCTGGGACCGATTAAATACTGGGAATACTACCCATCCCTACTACGTGTTTGTTTCAGTAGGTAAAGGTGTGTATGAGTATGACTGTATATAGAAATCAAAGCTGCAGGAAGTAGCATGGAGGAGGATGCATTTTATCATCAAAGTGCAGCTCTTTCTTTCTAACACACACATACTCACAACAGAGATACTGCTGTGAAAGCCAGCTGAGGCTTACAAATGTGTCCAATATGCACACACAGAAGTCGACGTTGAGTAAAAATGTGTATTGAGGATGTAGTTAATGATTAGCCATGTTCAGTTTTGCAGCTGTTTGTGTGTGTGAAGATCTGCCTGTGTTTAAAAGCAGGGCTAGTTGATTGATCATCTGCAGTAGTGAAAAGCAGGCTACTGCAGCAGCTTACGAAAGCGCACACGCTTGCCCTGCTCCTTTACGTTTCCCTCGTTCTCATTCTCTTTCTCTCCCCTTCCACCTCTGTCCTCCATGTTCTAGTTTTGCTCCCCTCCTCCTCTTCATTTCTACTTTCACTAGTTCCCTGTTGAATAGACAAGCACTGCTGGTGACTAGCAAATGGTGTGTTTTGAATGCTGGTATGTTGGTGTCCCTACTAGTCTTCTTAAAGGGACAGTACACTAAAAAAAAAAATCTGCATTTATTCACCTTATATCGTTTCTAACCTGTAAGGCTTTCTTTCTTACACTAAAAATACATTTCTACAGTTTCATACAGTAGAACAGTAATGTTGTGAAATATTATCACAATTTAATATAAGTGTCTTCTTTTTCCCCCCCATTTTTATAAATATTTTAAAATGTAATTTATTCCTGTGATGACAAAGCTGTATTTTAAGCATCATTACTCCAGTCTCCAGTGTCGCATGATCCTTCAGAAATCATTCTAATATACTGATTTATGCTGAGGTTCATGCAACATTTATTTTTATTATCAACATTTATTTTTGTGGAAACCATGATACATTTTTTAGGATTCTTTTATTAACAGAAAGTTTAAAAGAACAGCATATAAATTAATTATAACTCTTTTATAACATTATAAAGGTCTTTACTGTTATAGCATCTTTGCTAAATAAAAGTATCAATTTCTTTGATTAAGTAATCTTACAGACCCCAAACTTTTGAATGTTAGTGTGTATATAAAAAGATATTTATTGGAATGTCCAAGTTGCTTTTTTCCCACACAAATCAGTGACACTATGGACAAATGTGTCACTGTTCACTTTCATTTTATTATAAAGAGCAGTTTGACAAAAAATACTTTTTGTTCCATGTATGAAAGAAATGTAAATGATGACAAAGATAGGTGCACTAATTCTTTAACAAGCAAGTCTCCTTTAGTCAGTTATAATTATCATGCTAGTTGACGAGAATTTTCCTGTTCCACCAGCAAGACCATCACCAAACCAGCACTAACCAGGATAAATTAACTGGGACCAACATGGAAATTAAAGGTTTTCAGGGTTTTCACTCCATCTTGGATTCTTCCATTAGCCTCTAATCTCCTCCTCCTCCAGCTATACGTCTTTTCACATAAACCAACACCTTCTCTCTCTCCTTCTAATTTTCCAATATTCCAAAGCCCTGGGGAATGGCGTAATGGAATCACATGGCCCTGCCTTCTTTAGCACTGCAATACTACAACACATCCCCTAAAACACACTCGTCTGTCTCTCTCTCTCTTTCTCTCTCTGCTTTCCTGTGAGGTGACATTTCAGACTTGCCCTGATGGTTGCTCCCTACAGTGCTGCTGTGATCTACCTGTTTGAGAATCCATGTATGCGTGTGTGTGTGTGTGTGTGTGTGTGTGTGTGTGTGTGTGTGTGTGCATGTATGTGTGTGTGAGAAAAAGTGTTCATTAAGGCATGAGGGAACCAGCGTCCAACCAGACCTCTGCTGTGTACATAGCACTGCTTTACACACACAGTTTCAGAATGGGCGTGACTTTCTCTGGGCTAGTTTAGGCCATACGGAAAATACATATTTTAGTACATGTTACAGACACTGTGCAGTCAGTCAGTCATTAGGCATTCTACAGATCTTGTTATGAACTTAAAAAGGCCATGAAATTCTAAGTAAAACACATTTTGTATTGTTTTGTCACCTCTGGCTGCATAAAAATAATGACTACTGTACTTTGAATCATGAACAAATGACTCTTTTAATGAATCGACCAAAAAGAGCCCCTAACTCCACAGAAAATACAAATAATTATACAAAAATATTTGACATTAGAATGCCACCATCTACCAACTAGAATCAAGTATTCCAGAGAGCCATCTAATAATTGTTAATATTGACTCATAAATCGAGCAGCTCCAATTCTATTTCATTCTATTTTACTATGACACTAGAGTGTGTGTTTGAATAACTCACCCAGTGAGCACCACTACAAAGTCCATCACGTTCCAGCCGTTTCTCAGGTAGGAGCCCTTGTGGAAGGCAAATCCCAGTGCAAGAATCTTAATCCCCGACTCGAAGCAGAAAATTGCAATGAAATAGGGCTCTGTATCTTCCTGCGAGAGAAATAAAACCACAGATGGGATTATTAGAAAATGAATTTTCACTTAAAACATTCTCAGTGCTTTTGTCTTTGTGATTATCAAAATTTGTGAATCTTTGTGGATACTTTCAAACAGTCCCTGTATTTACAGATGACTCTCAACTTGAAAAGTAAGTTTTAACTACTCTTTTACTGTGTGTGTACCTACTCAAAAAATAGTTCACCCAAAAATGAAAATTTGTTGAAAATATAGTTAACCTAAAAGTTTATTTACTTAATTTTTGTACCGTTTTTACAAATCAGGATCTGGGTGTACACTTGTCCCTAAATATAGCAACAGGAATAGTTCAAGTGATGTAAAGCTAAATTTTTCCCAATCTGTTCAGATGAAGAAACTAACTCATCTACATCTTAGATGGCCCGAGGGTGAGAAAATTCTTAACAAATTTTCATTTTTGGGTAGACTATAGTGCTTATAACTAAAACAGAAGTCTATGCAATGTCCCCATTAAGATTTCACTAAGAATGTGCGTGTTCCACTTTACCAGTCGTTCTGACAGTGGAGTTTTGTCTCCATCTGGTAAGTGTTGTTCAAGAGCCAGTACGATGCAGTTGGCAATGATGGTGGTCAGAATCATCCACTCAAATGGAGTAAGAGGCAGAGTTAAGGTTAAAAAAAACTGGATTCTTCATATCAAACATATTTACAATTCAAAAGTATTTTTAAATCACTATGCAAACTAAAACTGTATGAACTTTGGAATGTTGCAAAAAATATATAATGTCAAAATATTAATTTGATCATTCTGGAATGTTAAGAATAAAAGTATTCAGAAAATAACAATAGGACAACAACAAATCATGCACATATAATGTCTTCTTGCAGAGTTTGGATAACCATGTGCATTCAAGTGTGAGTGATACAGAGCTGTAGGCCTGGGCTCACACATATACATACAAAAATAAACACACACACACACACACAGAGGGCTGCAGGGCTGTATTAAACAGATGAGTGTAGACAGATTCAGCCTGGCTGAAATAGAGCACTCATTATCCAGTTACTGTGTGTCTCTTTACCAGCTGCCACTGGCACTGATACACACTCTCAGCACTTGTCATAACCACTTACGTCATGTGTGTGACACACATAAGCACACAGACACAAAAACATGCAGTCATTGCGATGACTGCTACACACTCTAGTAACATTTTATAATAACTTTGATTAATTAAATATTTAAATTCACTATATGGTTCCAGAAATATCATGTCATGAAGAAATGTCATGAAACTTTGATACTGTGTGTATAAGTATGTATATATACATATATATATATATATATATATACACACACACACACACATTTTATACTTATATACAATGTAAATATTTTATAAGAAGATAATATTTTATTAGATGTTTTCAGAGAAAATATTTAATAATTATTATTATAATTATTATTACTTATTGTTTTATATCCCACTGGTATGTTCTTAACCATAAACCTCAATTTTGTTAACATCATATAATATAACTTTAATATTTAACTCTTGAAGCTTTTACTCTTTACGAACTAATGGCAATTTGTCACGACACATAACCGAATAACCAGAACTAAGGAGCGAGGAGACGAGGAATATACGAAACAGTCTTTAATCCATGGAACACAGGGTACATAAACACAGGAGACAACAGGAAACACATCCACGTAACGAGTAATTAATACTTCAATTAATACGGTAATTAATAGAACACAGCTGAACGGAATCTTAATTAAACTAAACAAGGGCAGGAAAATGACCAAATAAGGAAACACAGAAAGGCACATGAGGAGCAAAACATACACAAAACACGGACCAGAGTTCCTATGCTCGGGAGCAGGAGCTCTCCGTGGGCTATACTCGGGAGAAGGAGCCCTCCGTGGGCTATACTCGGGAGCAGGAGCCCTCACTGGAGAGAGTTCCGGGGCTGGAGCCGACACTGGAGTACGTTCCAGGGCTGGAGCCAACACTGGAATGAGCTCTGGGGCTGGAGCCATCACTGGAGCGACCTCTGGGGCAGCAGACGGGCCTTTCTTCAGAGCGGCCGACAGGTTTGACTCAGGAGCGGCCGGCGGGCTTGGGGGAGCCACGGCTGGCGGGCTTGACTTCAGAGTGGCCGGCAAACTTGACTCTGGAGCGACCAGCGGGCTTGTGGGAGCCGTGGCCAGCCGTCTTGACAACGGTGAGGCCGGTGGGCTTGTCTTCGGAGCGTCCGGCAGGCTTAACTTCTGAGCAGCTGGCGGGCTTGTCTTCAGCGCGCCCGGCGGAATATACGAAACAGTGTTTAATCCATGGAACACAGGGTACATAAACACAGGAGACAGCAGGAAACACATCCACGTAACGAGTAGACCAGACAAAAGGGAAACTGAACAGGCAGGAACTTAAATACAAGGGTAATTAATAGAACACAGCTGAACGGAATCATAATTAAACTAAACAAGGACAGGAAAATGACCAAATAAGGAAACATAGAAAGGCACATGAGGAGCAAACACACACAAAACACAGACCAGAGTCTGACACAAGTAACACACTGAAAAAAACATGCAATTTTTAAGTAGAAAGAAACTGTACTTTCTTGTAAAACACTCTAAAAAATGTGTTTTATTTGCAACTTTGAAAAAACACTTACAGTGGGGCAAAAAAGTATTTAGTCAGCCACCAATTGTGCATGGTCCTCAGCATCTCAAGTATGTGAGACGATATCGCAGACCACATCTGTCTCATTCTATATGCATTATGCAAGCATGTGAACATGGCTCCTGAATTCACCTCAATCTGTCTGCATACAGTGTAACTCAAGTTGTTTAAAGTACATCAGTTATTTTGTGAAGCAAAAAAAAAAAAACTCAGTGCTCACATCATGACTAACTCATTCCTTTGAAACACACTCACACACATACTTATTTATTCAGAGCTCATTGAAATCACCAACACAGTTAGCTCAGGGCTAACATGGCTAACAGTACAGTGCATGCTGGGAGACTTAAAGTGGTATCCATAGTAACCATTCGAGCGCTGAAGTAAGCATGTGCAGAGTGGCTGATCTGAGAATGGAAATGTGGAGCATTTGCGTAAACCCCTTCACGGCAGAAACCACGAATAGAGATGCTGCAGAGTGCCGCACACTAAACTACTAAACAATGTTTCCTTAAGCATGAAAGCAAATATTCCCTTCTCATTTCAACAGTCTTCTCTCTCGCTCTGTGTTTGTATCTACCTACTAATCATGCAGATGCACAACGCTGATGATATGTTCATGAAAAAATTATATTCAGTTGGAGTTGTAAAGCTGTCCGCAGCTCATAATGGGCCCTTAATAATTCACATCTCAATTTTAAGACTTGGATAGAGAGATGAAGAGCAAGAGAGACAACAAGGGTGACTGAAAGAGAGGAGGAGAAAAAAGACAAAGAAGGAAAACAGTGAGAATATAGATGTATTTAAATGAGGAGGAAAAGAAAAGAAATGGCAGAGAGAGCTGGCAACAGAGAAAGAGAGAGAGAGAAAAGCAGAAGAGCTGTGAAATGGATAGTTGGTTAGCATTTGAGAGAATCTACTGCATCTCTCCATCAGCAGTTTAACCTTTTGAGTGGTACAGTCCCACATGTGGGATCGTTATTTCTGTGGCCCTGGGAGTACTGTCCCACATATGAGATTTAGAATGTTGTGACGTCTCATTACTGCCAGATTCAAATTGTGATTTCGTGCTTTGGCTGATGCTGAGCCAGAGACAGGCGCACTCAGCGCTTGTCATATATCACAACTTATTTTAGGTTTCAGACTTTGAAATACACATGAGTACCAGTAAAACAAAACATTTAGAGTTTGTAAAATACACACTGATGTCTATGGAAGCAGCAATAACAATCCATTCAAATATAATTTGCCGTCATGTTTTATTAATATCAGAAACAGTGTGTTTTTTTCTTTTTTTTCCTCTTTTTTAGCGCTTTATACAATACACATTGTGTCAAAGCAGTGTTTTCTTGTTTTACAGTGTTAAACAAGAAAAACGTGAGCTGATAATGTAAGAGGACAATTGAAATAGTCAGTTTATCAGTTAAAGTCAGTTCATTGTTGATTCAATGATGTAATCGTCCAACACAGTTCAGTTCAACAATGTTCCCAGAAATTGAGTCCCCAACTAAGCAAGCCAAAGGCGACAGTGGCAAGGACCCAAAATTCCATCGGTGACAGAAATGGAGGAAAAAAAACCTTGGGAGAAAGAAACCAGGCTCAGTAAGGGAGCCAGTTCTCTCCTCGACATATACCATGTTGATATATTGTTACAGCACTAATTTCATTTTTTAAAACAAATTATAAGTAAACCTTATAATTATAATTCCAAGATGGTGAAATTAAGAATGTATAATATTTCTAAAGCATTTATTGATCTTAGTTAACATTAATTTCAACATTTACAAAAAAGCTTGATTGGGCAAACTATAATCTGATTAGCGGAGCAAGAACTTCTAGGAGTAAAACAAACTCTAGTCCACATTGCAGCTTATGTCGTTTGGCTATGTGAGAACTAACCTTTATCCTTATCCCTAAAAGACAACTGTGACGAGTGGGGCGGGGCTGAGAGCCGTGGGAACGGAGCGAGGCCGGTGGAATAAATGATAATGAGCGACACCTGCGCCACTCACCGGTCTCGAGTCCCATGGAGGAGCTCTGTAAGGATAAAAGGAGGAGCGACGACAGTGAAGGACGAGAGAGGACCAGACCTGGACTATTTATGTTGTTGTTTTGTTATGTTTTACGCGGAGGTCGTCCGTGAGGGGCTGCCGCTTTTACTTTGTTTTGTGTTGGTTTATTTATTTATTAAAGTTTATGTTTAAATGTTCGCTGGTTCCCGCTTCCTTCTTCCCGATCTACAAACGTTGTTACAACAACGTATTTGCATTAAAAAAATGTATTAATCATTTTTACCATTAAGGATGTCCCCAATGGGAGGTTTTGTCAGATTCAGCAAACTTCTGAGGGCAATTCTTTTTTCTAAATGTATAGATGAGAAAACATGGTAAACAAACCAACTGTAATTTTCTTTTTGCCTCCATTAGTGTCATTATAGCCTTTCCATGACCACCTCTTCTTGTCCCTACATGCACTTTTTCCATCACCTCACACACAAGAGTACTGTACACTCCCTTCCAATGCACAAGTCCTCCAGGCTTTAGAAACTTTGCATTGGCACAGCTTAACGGGGAGCAAGTCATGTGACCTCCATTGTCTGCACTTCTGTACTACATTGTTGCGCATTTCTGTAATTTGGTTCCAACTTTGTCGCATTTCTTTGTCACATTGCCAACTGAAAGAGAAAATGACTGACTTTAGTTTGCACACACCTTTAACTATTGTGTACATGTGTTTAATCTAAAAAATCATGCTCAAATAAACACGTCCTGCATGAAATCAAAATGAGAATCTCATTGTAAATTTGACCTTTGAGTTAACAGGACTTTCTTGGTGCAGTTAACTGCATGCGTTTGATACACATAGACATGCTGGAGAGAGTGAAGGGTTTTTTTAAAGAATGGTTTCTGTGCTCTAGATTAAAGCTGACAATGTGCTTTAGGGAGAAATGGAGCTGATGAGAT